CAAACCAGTGTATCTTTTTCCTTCTTGATAAATAATCTTAAATCAATGCATATTTTTTGAAAACTTACTGCTTTCCTGATAATTTGACAAACTTTTTTTTTCCAAATCAATTTGAATTCACTTCTTTATACTTATCTGATAAACCTTTTGAATTAGTCTACAATTCAGTTCTTTTGCTAAAACTCGACAATTATTTTTCTTAAACAAGTATGTCTTCTGAAACTCGTTTTAAACCATTTTCTTTGTATTAAGTCTGCAATCTTTTCTGAAACTTATCTTATTCTGCAACTCCTTTACAATCAGTAGTTCTATCCTACATTTAAGGTAAAGTTGACTAATTAAAGTGGTTCAGTCTTTGATGACTGCATTCCAGTAAGCCTCATACGGACTTCCTGTCTAAAAATATGAGTTAAATCAGTCCGTTTATCGCTTTAATTTTAAAGACCAAACCAGTACATGTGAGACATGCTAAACTCTATAGCTTATCTGATTTAAGGAGGTTTACTTGGGCCTTACTTGTTTATTTGCCTCCACTTTTACTTGTATTATGTGTTTTGATTGACGCCTTAGTATTTTGTCCTTTGAAACTCTCAAAAAGCCCTAAATCCCTTTTCCTTTCGGATTAGTAGTCCTAAATACCTTCGGGACTGATAGGATTGGGACGGGTACTAGCATGCAATAAGTAACGAAACTCTCCGCGCTTTAATACCTTAACGGGGTGGGAAGGGTAGAATATGGATATGATGACCGGTGCGCTAATATCACGTGCGACCCCTCTTCTGAGGAGTGATTGCTGGATGTTGCATTGAAGTGATCCATATTAATTATAAGCTTAGGCCCCCCCTCCCTTCATGTGCTTTCATCTCTTCTTGTAAAACTATTCAAATCTTTTTTTCATAAATTTTTGCCCTCTCTACTTACCTTCGAAAGTTTTGAACCTAATTGCAATGTTATATGCGAGTCCTTATTTGAGCCTTGATTGTTTACTTGTAAAGTCACAATTGCAACATGGTCGGGACCACACTAGTGGATCTTGAGGGGTGTCTAACACCTTCCCCTCGAGATAATTTTTATCCTTTACCCGAACTCTGGTTTTCTAACTCAAACTCTTCTAAAAAAGTGTCATAATGCACTATAATTATTAGGTGGCGACTCTTCAAATTCCGAAACTCAATTCTCGAAAGGGATAGAGTTGTCCTTCCCAATGTCGTATACCTGATTTCTGACCCCACGGTTAGAGAAAAAGGGGGCGTTGACAAAGGTCCCCCACACAAGGTTAGACAAGCCACTAACCTCGAACCGGCTCAAAATCAACTCGAAACCACACTTTTGCCACGAGTATCCGACTCCAAATGCCCCAAATCTATTCAATTCAATTGCATATTGTAAATAACAATTCAAGTAATTGATTCTACAATTAAATTCTAAGCTAATACGCGAAATCATGTAAAATGACGAAAACGCCCCTCAGGACAACGTCTCGGAATCGGGTGAAATTTATATTTTCAGAAACCTCGTACTCTCACGAGTCTATACATAACAAGAACACTGAAATCGGAGTCCAAATGACCCCTCAAATCCTCAATAAAGGACTCTTAAACTCAAGCCCTAGTTACCCATTTTTCTCAAATTTCTCACCATTACTTATGTCTTTAATCACATAAAAACGAGTTATGAAGTCAAGGACATTACCTCCAAGTGATTTCCCTTTGATTTCCTCAAAAACCCCCTCTTAGAAGCTTCAAACTCGGATAAAAATGATGGAAGAATAGTCAATTTTCGCAAAAACAACTATTTATATGTTCTGCCCAGCGACTTTCGCATTTGCGATCCTGGGACCGCATACGCAGTCCCGCTTTTGCAAACCAAATGTCGCATCTGCAACTTTCATTAAATCACTCAGGAACCGCATCTGCGGTCTTTCTTTCGCAGATGCGAACCCGTTTTTGCGGTGCAACTTCCGCATATGCGGAAACTGAAGGAGAGCCAAAAATTCGCTCTTGCGATCTCTAAGCCGCTTCTGCGGCTCCGCACCTGCGTAACCCAAACCGCAGGTGCAGTTATGACAGATACCAGTTGCCTTCAACAAAATTTCCTCAAAATACGCTTTCGATCAAAAACCTAACCAAACCACGTCCGAATGACCTGAAATTTTGCACACACATCCCGAATGACATGTCGGAGCTACTACAACTTCCGGAATTCTATTCCGGCCCTCAAATCAAAAGCTCACTATCGGACCGGAAACTTCAAAAATTCAAACTTTGGCATTTCAAGCCTAAAATAGCTATGGACCTCCAAAACACATTCCGATCACGCTCCAAACCCCAAAATCACCCTATGGAGCTAACAGAACCATCAGATTTCCATTCCGAGGCCGTCTTCACGCTGTTCCTACTACGGTCAATTTTCCAACACTTAAGCTCTCATTTAGGGACTAAATGTCCCAAAACTCTCCGAAACTCAAAACCGAACATCACGACAAATCAAATTAGCAGAAATAAACTTGGGAAAAGCAGTTATTAGAGGATCGGGACGTAAATTCTTAAGACGACCGGCCGGGTCGTCACAAATGATCATTTCATAATGCTAAATAAAAATTAATATACGAACAAGGCATAATTACTCATACACAATTTAGGTACTCATCATCAAGGGCTGTGGTGAATTGTATAAAATTCATTTATTTTTAATCAGAGGTCTCGGGCGGATAACTCACACCAAATAAAAAAACAAAAAGTTCTAATATTCATGAAGCATAAGTTGTTTTAACTTAAAAGTTTAACTATATGCAATAACTGTATAAAAATAATTATACAATTATAAGGTAACTAAAATAAATTTCTATAATAACTATATTCGTAATTGGTCTTCCGAAAAGAATGATAAATTATACGCAACAATAAGTAAACTTATATTAATTGTTTAAAATATTTCTACAATGTCATTATATGTAACTTAAGTCGCTTAGATATATAATTTTTATTTACAATTCCTTTTTTTGTAATATTTTTTTATTTACAATTTCATTGCACGTACTCCTTGTTTTTTATTGGATCTTTTTGAAGTGTACTATATTTGCTTTTAGACAGTGACATAAACAAAGTTGAATTCAAAATTTTACGAAATCGAGAAATCAAAGACTGACACCAAAACAATTTTAAAAGGACCATTCTAACCCCATCTTGGTATTATTAATCTTTAATTAAAAAATATTCAAGGGATTTATTTTATTTTTTCTTCGAAAGGGACAAAAGTACATTATCCATTGTCCAAAAAAGAATCACGGAGTTTTCGATACGAGGGCTAGCATATAAATTACAGTATTAATTTAAAAATAAAATTTCTTTAAAATTTTATGACATAAAGATATTATACATAATTTCTTATATTAAAGAATATTTAAAAAATATCTGAACAATCATGCTAAAGATACAACTGTTTGACCTCTAAATAGTACTATAAATTTTAAAATAAATAAGATATTTAAAATAACATTGAAGAACAGTACATGAGTTTTAAAAGTTAAATATTTTAAAAAAAGTATCTGAAAAAGTCATCGTTAAATATAACAAAATAGTTAACCCCCAAATGATATAATGCTCATATACATTAGAATATAGAGTAAAAAAAATAGTTAAGGCATCACATACAAAATTTCATCCTCTATACTTTAAAATTATATAGAAATATTTTCACCATTAAAACTTTATTCATAAAGTCAATTTTTAAACGATATAACGAATTCTGGCACTATTAACATGAATTTTTTTAAGTATAATATTAGAATACAATAATAATATATCCAGTATAATCATATAAGTAAGGTCTGGCAGGTCTATACACAAGATAGAAAAATTATTTCGAATAGACATTCGGCTCAAGATAAACAATGCCAAAACATGTTTGACGAATACAAGAATATTAGTATAATTTAATTTATTAAAATGGACTATTTTAAGGTCATGAATTACAATTTTTATGGATAATTACATGTTATTATTCTTAATGATCTGATCTGATAATATAAATTATTTCTAAATAATCCATCTATGTAAGTTAAGTCCTTTATGAAATCAATAAGTCAATTATACTCAAATTACTTAAGAGGCAATTAATTAAATGTCTTAATACATATGAGTGATGTTAGTAACCTGAAAAAGGTAAAATGTTATAGCAGGTAACAAAATTAATCGATTACATAAATTTAATTACACCGTTTATGTATATGAGATAAATTTCAAGTTAAAACATTTTGATAAATTTTTATTAAACCCATTCTCATTTTCTTAGGCACATAGGGTTTCAACGCTACTACAGTGCTTCGCTAAATCGAAGCACCTCACTATGAAAATCTAGCTTCGGTAACGCTTGTTTAAGTCTTAAACTTTTTCGTTAATCGTTTTCTTTCTCAATAGCATAATCGCTTTTAGACGTGAGCATGTTTTCTTTAATAATCATATCAAATGAAGTATTCTTGGTTTTGAATTGTTATATCGCTTATCCCCGTTTCCAAATGAAAAGATCCACCATCAAGCGCAGGAAATGCTATCAAAAGGGGTAAGAATATCAATCCGTATTCAAAGAAAATAGTTTGAATGTGTAAATTAATTATGAGTACGAGTTTGAAAATTATGCAGAATTAATGATAGGAGGTTCAGAAATTTTACGAGATCTTTAAGAAATTCATTTTTACGAGCATTACAATTAAATCGAGTACTCAAATTTATCTTTTATTAGGATTTAATTTATCTACATTTACATTCATTATGTATCTTGTTCTCACAATTGATTAATTTTAATCAATGATAACAATTAATTCTAAATATCAATTACTAATTCTTATTAAGTATTTATTATTTGCAATTATCTTTGATTGTGTAAATTACAGCATGATTGCATAAAGAGATTTTATTTTTATTTTATATAGGGGGGGGGGGGGGGGGGACACGTGGTGCTTAGATAAAAAAGGGCAAAAGGTGTAAAGGGCAGTATTTTAGGGACACTCGTAACTGTTGTACCCAACCCTATACTAAATATACACTTTTCTCAGTCCAGTCTCTCTACAAAATTCACTCTCTAGTATTTTAGGGTTTCTGAGTTCGATTCTTGGTTCCTCCGTTTTGGGCGCCTAAGGTATACTCCTTATGGCGAAAATTTGATCTTTTCTTGATGTATTTTTTTTCTTTTTTTGCTGTTGAATCAGTTTTTTCTTTTTTGCTGTTGAATCTGTCAATGCTGAGTTAGTTTGAGTGATTTGGGTTTTTGTAATTTTCTGGGGTTTGTTTATTTGTGCCTAAAAAATGGTTTTCCTTTTGTAAAAAATATTATGGAATTTTTTAAGCTTTTTGTTTTTTCTGCTTTTGAATCAGTCAAATCTGTTGTATTTTTACTGATTTTGTTTTAATATTTTCTGGGGTTGGTTATTTTTTGTTTTTTAACTGTTTCTGTTGAAAAAAATCCCTATGGAAAATGTTTGATGCTTTTTGAAGTGCTGCTTTACTTTGAGTTATTTTTGGTTGAATATTTTCTGGGTTTTGTTTATTTTTGTGTTTTTCTTCTGTTTCTTTTGGTAAAACCTGGAAATTGTGAAAGTCAAAGAACAGAAAAATTAAAAATTAAAAATAAAAAGTATATTTTAGATTTTCTTAGTCTGTTCTTTTTTCCTTTTGGAATTTCTTGGCTTGCATGTGTGTGTTATGGCTTGAGTTATGGGGTAGAAAATTTTCTGGATTTTTATATTTATACTGAAATACTGTTTTTTCAAGAAGTTAAAACTGAAGTCAAAAATAAAATAAAAAACAAAATATTGTTCTGAGTGATTTTGACTCAATATTTTCTGGGGTTGGTCCATTTTTGTTTGTTATCTACCGTTTTCGCTCAAATTTGGTTTTTCTTTTGTTAAAAACTTAAACCCCAGAAACTGAAGAAGTCAAAGAACAAAAGAAACGGAAAGAAAGTAGGTTTCAAGATTTATGGTGTTTTGACCAATGCTCTGTGGTATTGTGGTTTAATACTTTCTAGGGTTGTCTGATTTTTGTTCTTTATAGCGTTTCTGATGAAAGCTCTCTGTGATTTTTGTATTTCTCCTTAAATGCTTAAATATGGGTTTTTTCAAAGGCGCAGAAACTTAAGAAAGAAAGAAAAAAGTAAAAACAAAAGTTGGTTTTAAGTGGGAAATGTCAGGGTTTTCTTCTCTCCCTATTTTTTGTGGTTACTTGGCTTGCATGTGTGTGTTATTTCTTGATTTATGGAGGTTGGACTTTTTGTTGAGCAATGTTTGTGCTACAGTGGTTGAGTAGTTTCTGGGGTTGGTTTACTTTTTGTTATTTGTAGTATTTCAAATGAAAAATTTCAGTTTTTTTTGGAGTTAGTGAGATCTGTTTGGCTTGTTTTTCTTTCTTTTTGTGATTTTCTTGGTTTGCATGTGTGTAATATGGATTCATTTGTGGAGTTTGACATTTTCTGAGTAGTACTTGTGCTATTTGATTTGTCAATTTCTGCATTTTCTACTCAGAAATCTCTTCTCTGTATAGACTGTGTCATTAATGTTATTGCCTAGTTATTTTACAGTAAGCTGTGCTTTGGTCTCTCCCTTCGAGATTTTGGTCTTCTTGTTTATTAGGTTAAAAACCTCAGGCTGAAATAGAATGGAGTAAAGAAATGAACTATGCTGCTGTTGTTTCTTTGTTCTTTCCAAATATGGTAATGGAGTGCTTTGTATGGTCTTAGTGATTCCTCTTACCTTTTCTTTGGGTGAAAAAGAATTTTTACTTTCACCTTATATTTTGCAATGTGCTTCTTAATAACAATTCTTTTTGTGAATGATAGTTGCCGTGCTTCACTTATTGGTGGCTGCTGTGATTTCTTCATTTTATTTTAGTTCTTTATCAGATGTTTTTGCAGTCAAACACTTGTCTACATTAGCCAAATGTCTGTGTATTCTAGATTTGTCATTTTCAGCTCTTATTACACTCTTTAAGGTCTTCTTACGGAGAGTGGTAGACCTTTCTGAATTTTGACATGTCTTTTATCTTGCCTTATGGTTTGGTGGATCCATAGCAGTTCTATTGGCTGGTGGTTTTCGTAGGGGGTTGTCTGAATTTACTCTCTTTCCTGATTTTTCTCACTACTCCACCTTCTCCCCAGAATACATCTTTGTATGGTATTTCCAGTTGCATTTCAATTTCATGTTTTTTAACATTCAGAAACTATGTTTCATACAGGACTCTGATATGGCTGAGGAAGATAAGAACGGAGCAGCAGAGGGTCTGCCACCTCCTCCCCCTGTTCCACCTGATTTCACTCCTGCAAAATCAGAACCCGAGCCGGTGAAGAAAAAGGCGGCTCCACGTCTTCCCATGGCCAGACGTGGCCTTGGAAACAAGGGACAAAAGATTCAAATTCTTACTAATCACTTTAAAGTGAATGTGACCAATGTGGATGGACACTTCTTTCACTACAGTGTATGTGTCTCTCTTCTATATATTTTTATGTCTTTTATTATTTGTTTTGGTTAACTCTGTTCTTTTGCAGGTTGCCCTATTTTATGAAGATGGGCGGCCAGTAGATGGGAAGGGAGTTGGCAGAAAGGTCCTAGATAGAGTGCATGAAACATATGATACAGAATTAGCTGGAAAGGATTTTGCTTATGATGGGGAAAAAAGCTTGTTTACCATTGGAGCACTCCCTCGAAATAAAATGGAGTTCACCGTTGTTCTTGAAGACGTTACATCAAATAGGTTGGTTTTCAAAATGGCTGAGCTTTACTTGTTTCCAGTGCCTTTTATAGCGGTTATTGACTGTCTGTTGTTCACAACTTTTTACATTCAGGAACAATGGCAATAGCAGCCCTGCTGCTGCAGATGAAGGTCCCAATGAAAGTGACAGGAAAAGGTTACGACGTCCTTACCAATCAAAATCTTTTAAGGTGGAGATAAGCTTTGCTGCGAAAATTCCAATGCAGGCAATTGCAAATGCTTTGCGGGGTCAAGAGTCGGAGAACTCTCAAGAAGCCTTGAGGGTGTTGGATATAATTTTAAGGCAGCATGCTGCTAAGCAGTAAGTTATCTTTATTTCTTTTTGCGAGAGGGGTTGATTGCATCTGTCTGTTTTCTCAGTTCGTTTGGTTGATGTTCTTGTATCAGGGGCTGTCTGCTTGTTCGTCAGTCCTTTTTCCACAATGATCCGAAGAACTTTGTTGATGTTGGCGGTGGTGTTCTTGGTTGTCGAGGATTCCATTCTAGCTTTAGGACCACTCAGAGTGGCTTGTCTTTGAACATCGGTAATGACTCTAATAACTCAAGTTTCATACTTCTACTCAAACGAAATGAGTTTAATGCTGTACTGTTGCATCAATTATAGATGTGTCTACCACAATGATTATCCAGCCTGGGCCTGTAGTGGATTTTTTGATAGCAAATCAAAATGCAAAAGATCCCTTTACGCTGGATTGGGCAAAGGTAGACTGTTGTTTATGGTAATCTGTTTATCTAGTTACTTAAACTGTAGCTAAGCTCGGATTGTCTACACAATGTATTAGGCAAAACGTATGCTCAAGAATTTGAGGGTGAAGACTAGTCCAACTAATCAAGAGTACAAGATTACTGGACTGAGTGAGAGATCCTGTAGGGAGCAAACGTATGCCTTTCTTTCTTTGTTATTTCTTGTTATTTAAACAAGAGTGTATGCCATTCTTCCTTTTGTTATTTCTTGTTATTTAAACATTGGCATGGTTAAGTTGTAAAACTCAGCTTCATTTGACATTTTAGGTTTACCCTGAAGCAGAAAGGTAAAGATGGGGAAGGTGATGAAATTACTGTTTATGATTACTTTGTCAATCACCGAAACATAGACTTGCGCTATTCTGCGGATTTGCCTTGCATCAATGTTGGGAAACCCAAACGTCCCACCTATTTCCCTATCGAGGTAAAAAGCCTTTGGTGAAAATTAAAGGCCTATGTCATTACTTGTGTTTTGTGCATATATTATTCTCAGATTCTCTTTGTTCGATTCAGCTCTGCAATTTGGTGTCATTGCAAAGGTATACAAAATCTCTGTCCACATTCCAGAGATCTTCATTAGTGGAGAAATCTAGGCAAAAGCCTCAGGAGAGGATGCAAGTCCTAAGCAATGTAGGTTTTTCTTAATTAAAGGAATCTCTCGGAGTATTCCGGTGGATAGACACTAATTCCTGTTTTGGTGCAGGCCCTCAAAATCAACAAATATGATGCCGAGCCTCTGCTTCGTGCCTGTGGAATTTCAATCAGCAGTAACTTCACCCAGGTTGAAGGGCGTGTTCTTCCTCCCCCAAAGGTATTTAATTTATAATCACTTGGCTGATTAGATCATTTAGTGAATTTGGAAATCCAGTCTGACCTTACCCTTTATACATTTCAGTTGAAGACAGGTGGTGATGACTTTGTTCCACGTAATGGCAGGTGGAATTTCAATAACAAGGTATAGAATTACTCCGTTTGAAATGTTTTTTCCTGCTGGATCGGTTAATTTATCCTCATAATTTCTTTAGTTTTGATGTCCATTGAATTTCCTATTAATATTTTATGTGGAATGGGCAGAGACTGGTTGATCCGACAAAGATAGAGCGCTGGGCTGTTGTCAACTTTTCTGCACGTTGTAACATACAAGGGCTAATCAGTGATCTTATAAAATGTGGAAAAATGAAAGGAATTGTAAGTTCCCTCGAATTCGCAAAGTGAGTGTAAAGATGAATGACTGATCATTGTTCCTTATTTTATAAAATGTGTTCAGATGGTGGAAGATCCATTTGATGTTTTTGAAGAGTCTCCACAATTCAGAAGGGCTCCCCCGCTTGTCAGAGTGGAAAAAATGTTTGAAGAAGTCCAGTCAAAACTTCCCGGGGCACCGAAATTTCTGCTTTGTTTGCTTCCTGAGAGGAAAAACTGTGACATTTATGGTTAGTGAGATTTACTTGTTATCTTAACAATGAACTCTTAACTGCTGGATGATGACTGATATAATTGAACTGATTGAACTCGAAGGACCATGGAAGCGGAAGAATTTGGCTGAATTCGGCATTGTTACCCAATGCATAGCTCCAACGAGAGTCAATGACCAGTATATCACCAATGTGCTTCTGAAGATAAATGCAAAGGTGAGAGTTCTGAGCATCTGGTTATGTGCTATCATCCTGAGCATCTTCTTTTTTCCACCTTTCCTTGCTTCTTTGAAATCTCAAAATATTTCTCTAATCAAGTTATTCCTTCTTGGCAGCTTGGTGGTTTGAATTCTATGTTAACTGTTGAACATGCTCCCGCAATCCCTATGGTATCTAAGGTTCCCACCATAATTCTTGGGATGGATGTGTCACATGGTTCTCCTGGCCAATCTGATGTGCCATCCATTGCTGCGGTATGATCTCTGTCAATTTTCATTGAATCATATTTTTATTTCCTTTTTAACCAACCGGGTCTATGATTATTTCCTTGAGTTGGTACTTAAAAAATCAGTCACCTAATGTGTACAAGCGCATAGAGGGAAACATGTTGCATTTTTCTTCCCTCTTGAAATTTATAATGGCTTCTCTCTTTTTGTATTNGGTGCTTGGGGCTTTAATTGGTGCTACATAAACCTACACGAGAGAGCAATGCTAAGCTTGTTGCACTTCTATTGTGCTCACCAGTTTTTTTGTTTTGGGTCTCTACCATAATAAGTAGGATGCTGCATCAACGGATATTTTATTTTGGTTAAATGTTCAAGCTACATGAAAGCAGTGCTCAGTTTGGAATTATCTACTCTGTTGTAGCATCTCCCAGAAATAATTATTCTACAAAATTGCAGGGAAGCTTTGCTAGACTTTTATGTGAGTTCTGGAAAAAGGAAGCCTGAGCATATTATTATATTCAGGTGATCTATCCAGCTGCCTTTCGCATTTATTCTATTTAGTTCCAGCTAAATGTGTGCTGTACAAGTGTGCTATAATGTCGTGTAAATGCTCTAATATTGGCACTGACCTGAGGTGTTAAATGCTAAATGCTTTTATAGAGGAGTTCTTCAGTAACAGTCCACAGGTACTTGAGGTGTTAGCTATAGCCTCATCTGAAGAAAACCGCATAAAACATTTGTAAGGTTGTGGACCGACTGTTAGTTGATAAATGCTGATTCTTAGTTGAAATCGGGTTGTCGTCAATTAAAGTAACTTATATATGGCATTTCGTTGATGGAAGTCTTCATCTGCATTTCATGCTGTGGTACTGCATGTGTTCTGCCTTTGTACATGTGTAGATTCTATAATTTTTGTTTTATTTATGGTCTTATTTAAAATTTTCAGGGATGGTGTCAGTGAATCTCAATTTAATCAAGTTCTGAACATTGAACTGGATCAGATCATTGAGGTTTAGTCTCGTAAATGCTATTTTGAGGAATAGTGAACTCTACTCGGGGAAACGAGATATAGTTGTACTAAAGTTGTTTCGTTTGTTGATTAATAGGCGTGTAAATTTCTCGACGAGAAGTGGTCACCCAAGTTTACTGTGATAATTGCACAGAAGAATCATCATACCAAGTTTTTCCAGCCTGGAGATCCTAACAATGTTCCTCCAGGTACAACTCGAAGTCACTATATAATAATTGCAACTAATGCACTGTATGAAGTTGCTTACACATTCACTTTTGTGCAGGCACGATTATCGACAATAAAGTTTGTCACCCAAGAAATTATGATTTCTACTTGTGCGCCCATGCTGGAATGATTGTAAGTCTTATGTTCTCTTAGTTTTCTTTTCTGTCTTTCTTTTCAGTCTAATAGTTTTGGTATTTCGTACTTGAATTTTCTTAGGTTCTCAGCTATTATTGTTTATCCTCTAAAATGAATACTGAATGTGTTGACTGGTCCTCCCCTTAATTGAAAAATTATTGAGTTTTTGGAGCTCAGTTCATTGCTAATTACGATGGCTGAAGCAGCATAGTTAAATCTAATGCAAAAGGTTGTTTTACTGTATATCCTGAATCCAGTGACAGCTTTTCAGACCACTTCCAGTTGTCTAATTGCAAATTTGTAAACTAGTATTTTAGGGAACGTTAGATTATTTCTATCAAAGGGAAAAAGGGAGAAAGAAACAAGAAATGACAGTCATATTTCAACATCTAATGCTAGCTGATAACCATGCTCTATGACATAATCACCATTGAATTGTTTATGGTTTGGGCTGATCTCAGTCAGTTCAAGAAGATGCTAGATTTTGGTGAGTAACTTTTGGATCAGCTGTATTGCATTATTTGCATCGTCACTGTAATTTTTTTTATTTCCATGTGTGTGTGTGTTTCCT